CTGCTCCTCCCCCTCCTCCTCCCCCTCCAGAGCTGGGCTCTCTAGCGACAGGGGCAGCAGGGGACTCCTTCACGGGGTCGAGTATGCTGCCGTCGACGCAAGGTCACGGAGCCGGGGCCAGCAGTGCGTAAGACAGACAGACAGACAGACATACGACGGAACGAAAATCTAGGGGGCCATCTGGCGCCGCCGACGACGTACAATGACATACACATCACCAAAACGGCTATACTATATATAGAGATTATGTGAACAGTAGTTTATCTGTGGTATAAATCTGCGCGCCGACGGGCGGAGATGGGCGGGGAAGACAGGCAAAGATTGTGTACGGGTGCGTCCTGGCAGGATTCAGTTCCAGATCGAAATCCAGATCCAGGCGATGTGTGTTTAAAACTCAAAAAGGTGAGTCAGGCTACGTAGATTCCAGATTCAGGTCCAGATCCAGCAATCAGGAATCACGCAGCATGTTTGATGTGGTGACGTGTACGGTACGGCACTGCCGTAAAAGCAACGAATCTCTCTGGAATCTTCACACTTCGAGGAAAAGGTGTTGATCGGCTCGTCGCTCCGCTCGGGACGGAGTTTACAGGTGGCGGGGAGCTGTTAATTAATGGTTGCAGAGGTTGGTTTTTATTATTATTATCCGGCAACGGACAGAAGCTTATATACAAGGATGGAAACGATGTACGAGGAAGAAAATATAAATTATATAAAATATAATGAATGAAATCGTTTGAATATAGATTTCTGGGAGTTGTTCTTTGGAGTGAGAGCGGCAGGCTGTTGGTTATACCTTTCCATCTGTGGCTGTGGCTGTGGCTGTGGCTGGGCGGTGTGTGTGGTGGCGGTGGTGGCCCCCGGTGCGACGTTGCTCAACGTCGCGCAATGCCAGAGCGGAGGTGCCGTTGTCGCATTGTGTGTTGTCGCCGGCACAAGTGCCGTACACTCAGGATGGGGGGCTGAATGAGGCTGAAAGGGGGATGTGGGGGGTCTCGGATGGTGTGGGTATGGGGTACGCGGAGGCGGCAATGGAACTGGCTTATTCACGCATGATCGGAGACTACATGGTGTGTGTGAACGAATGCTGGTGTGGGAGTTGGTTGGTGAACATGGTGATGTGTGTGCGTGCATGTGTGCATGCGTGTGTATGTGTGTATGTGCGTGCGTGTTCCTTACACTTCCTAGAGTTGCGTTATACCCTCCAAAGGTGTAACCTGGGGTGTGTGTGTGGCCCGTACATACATACATACCTGGGAGCCATGAGGTGAGGGGGGGGTACCACCCAACCTAGGGCCCTGAGGGGGCCGAGAAGGCTGTGCGCTGCCAGAGGAAGATAGATCGTGGTGGTGGTGGTGGTGGTGGTGGTAGTACTGGTGGTGCTTCATGGCATATGAGTGGCATATAGGGTGCGGTGCGGGTCATACGTATGCATGTGTGTGATTGTGCGCTTGAAAGCCAATCAGCACGCTGGCCTGTGCTGCGGCTGGCGGTAGCGGCGGTAGTGCTACTGGTGGCATTTGTGGGTTGGAGAAAACGTTCTGCGGTTGGGGCTTTTGATTTTGCGTATACAGCCTGGCGTGCGTGTGTGTGTTTTAATGATTCTTCCGAGCCGCGATGATATCATCCAATCATCATCGTGAAGCGTAAAATAATGTTGACCGGCAGTTGTTAGGCGGTCATGGGCAAATCGCGATGGTGGGTGCATCGGTTCGGTGCTTCTATTTAATATTTAGCATGTGTCAAACTGCGAATTATACAACTCGTTGGAACGACGGCCCGAGTTGGCCTTGCAAGGCACTTTCACGTACACACCACATACACACCCCGGCCGAAACGTCAGAGTACGGTAACCCGGTGAGGACGCCATTTGCATGAGAGTTGTCGTCCACAGCCACTACAGCCAAAACAACTGTGTGGTGGGAACTCAATTCAATTCAGCTCAGCAACAACAGTAAATTAAAATTTTGGGAGGGCCTTCCTTCGGAACCATCGCGCACAGCGTACAGCAGGGTGCGACAGTCCGATCGGGTCCTGACAGGAATGGCACTTGTGCTGAAAATCCCGACAGGCTTTGAAAAATGCTTTCGGGCGGACCCGACGAAAAAGGGGGAAAATGCCAAACGGCCATCGGGAGCCCCCGACGGGGCCCGGAGGGCTCCCGTCGGGGGACCCGACAGGGTTAGGGGCACTAGGACCGCCTGATCGGGTGCCGTGGGTCGTCGGCAGTGTTTTTTTTTTCATTTCTGCCGGTTAATTTTCCAGTCCGAACGTAGGAATAGGTTTTTAGTCGCGGGAATATAGGTATTCCGAATCTGTAAGGCGCCCCCCCCCCCGATGAGTTACAGTTTAGTTCGTGCAATCGCCGGGTTTGGGGAATGTCGCAACACGCGCACACCAATCTCTCAAGCACTGATCGAATAGAGTTCGTTCATCATCGTTCGTCTTGCATCACGTTGAAAGATAACACTACACGACTTTCCAGGTTGCAGAAGTAATGATGCATAGCAGCAATGAACCGGAACCACCAAACGCAACCTGTTTCCTGGCCCATCGCGATTGTATCCATATGAGGACATTGATGTTTGGCCCGCTCGCTGTTGACAACCGGAGTGGCGTCATTGTCGTCGGCTGGCTGCAGCATTGCGTCCACATTGCCTACGACCCCTACACCGTCTTCATTAACGTCGCTAATGGCTTCAGTGAAATTTAATATCTGCTTTAATGGCCTTCAATGCTTTGGGAGCTTCGGTTCCGAATGTTTTGCAGCGTTTGGTCCGGTCAGAAACAGTCCGATTCCTCGTTGACTTTCGGGCGTGAGCTTCCTAACAGTATCCATGGCATTAAAGTACTATGATATGGGTAACATATATGTCTCCTGTAAAATTCTAGCGGCTTTGGCATGGACAGTCCATTTTTGGCTGGAGGAATGAACTTGTACGGTTGGAACATTATTTATTCTTAACTTTCAGGACCACGAACATTTTTTTATTCCGAATTCGGAATATATTCCGCAAAAAAATAACGCTGTACCAAACCCACGACGAGCAAAACCTGCACTCAAAAGGGCTGAAGGCCTGCTCCCACTGTCGATGAGGATGGAGGGGTCGGTTTACCTTGAAACTGCATAGTCAAAACTTTAGAAACGGAGAAAGGGCAAGGGAGCGACGTTAGCATCGGAAGCAGGTACTGAGGGTCGTACCAGAACTCGACCCGACCAGTTAACCCAGCAGAGCCACGATGCTTTCCTATCGCAGCAACAACATCGTACAGGTGATAGCAAGTGTGGTACGAAGCTGAGTCATGCCGAACAGCGAAGAACGACACTTATCAGCAACCCACTTCGGCAACAGAAAACCACCTGATGTTGAATGCAGTGCAGATACTCCTGAGCGCAAGCAGGAGGCGGATGAACGAAACCGTGATGCCCAGCACAGCTGGAAGACAGAAGGCTGTGTGGAGTCGAACTGAATTTGGGGCACATAACTAATCCAGTCATTCGCTGAAGCTGCTCGAATTCAGAAGTGTGGAGTATGCGAGTGGACGGAATAAGTGCAGAGACAATCGGTGCAGAGGCAATTAGTCTTTGTGTTACAGAATCGACGAGGCTCAGCAGTTCAGAGCCGCAAAGACAGCAGCATCCTGACACATAAGCTGCACTAGCGACGAGGTCCGCGCAGACGAAACGGATTTGCCATTACCAACGAGGCCGTACCCAACGGGGTAGGCGATAATGAAACAGCAACAGGTGAACGAGACGAGCCAGAAGCGGAGGCTCACAACTGGGGATGGGGCAGTCTTGCACACAGGATGTACTACCGCCAACAGATGTGCCCAACTGTT